CCCGGTCCCGGCCCGGCCCGCGCACTCACCATCTCCGCCGGCTCCGGACTCTCCGGGCGTCCTCCCCGCGGCCCCGGCAGGTGAGAGCGACGGGGACACGACACCGGGGGCCGCGCGGTGCAGGTGCGCGCGGGGAGGCGGTGCGAGAGGGGCGACCTCCACGCGGGTGCGAGCGCGCCCGCCCCCCGCTCTGATTGGACGGTGCTCCAGGATGCTACGTTTCGATTGGACGGTACTTCAGTCGGTCATCCTCCCGCGCTCTTTGATTGGACCTGGTCCGGCCCGCAATCGGGCTCTGATTGGATACATGCCCAAGACCCTCCTCTCTCCCCTGATTGAGTCCCTGCTCTCCCTACTGTTCTCCGCTCCCGCCCTCGTCGTCCCTGATTGGACAGTGTTCCCGTCCCTGGAGTGAGAGGCGGCGGCGGCGGCGGTCACGTGGCTGAGGGGGGCGTAAACGAGGGTCCCCGGCCTCCGCCGTTCCCTGCCCGGTCTCCTCACCGGACTCGCACCGCGCGCCCGAGTCGTCGCCCCGAGCTGAACCCGCTCCCGCCGGGGAGACGCTGCATCTGCCTGCAGCTCCGCGGCCCCTCCTCGTCCTCCTCCTGGAACGGGAAGTCCTGACTCAGTTTCCCTGGAGCGCCCCTCGGCAGCAGACGGGACAGGACGGCACAGGGGGCGCGGTGACCCCCGTGGTCGGCCCAGGGGCGCAGTCACCGCGGATGTGTGACCCTTTTTGAAGAGCAAAGACACGTAACACTGATGTCACCGCCTGCAAGCCTGGGTCGGGCTCGGTTTTGACCTGTGACCTCTGATACGGACACCCCGCCCCTCCTCTGGGACTTGAGGTCAAACCTGCGGTCTGGGGGCCTTCGCCCCGGTGGGAAGGGGGACCCCGCGGCCCCCCTGCACGCAGGACTCATCCCTGGACGACCACGGGTGCTGTTACCGAAGCTCAAGTGGGTCCCCCACCCCCGCGCAGTGGGGGAAAGTAGGAATTGCCCTCAAAGCGCTGAGCAAGGAGAATGCTCACGCTGTAATCCCACACTCCCAGAGAAGCTGCAAGAAAAGGATTTTATTTGGGGCTTTAGGTAGAGAAGGGGGAACATGTGGCTTCCGGGGCTGAAGTTTTAAGCCTCTGTGCAGACGCGAGCGTCTCATATCTTTTCATGGGTTGCATGTGCAAA